CAATAAGCAACATTGGTTGTACCTTGAAACGATAGGCCTCAGGTGACAATCGTCTATTTCATCAGAGTTCACTCGTTTAAATTGTCGACCCTAAACGTTAGAGAAATCATAGACCTACGTTGAACGTTAAATTTGTTGTTGTATTGTTGGTTCAGTGGTCTGCGAAGACAAAGGTGACAACCTCTCCCATCAGGTAAAAATTAGCGCCACTAAGCAGCGTCGGATGGCTCTATTTACATACGCAAAATGTTCTCCCCTACATCGGTCTATCCCATAAACAGGTCATTAGGGACCCTCTTCATCTAACCTGCCCTATGCTCTGAAACTAAAAACATTTTCCCTCCGCACCGAGGAAAATCTCCCATCAAAGAGGGTGCAGTGCAGTGTCACAAGGGGGTTTTTATTGCGAACTCATGGTAGGTCGGTCGAGTGTTCAAACACGATGGCTACGAAGGCGTCGCCAACACAACAACGGGTAGCTTTTGCCGACAGAGAAATACCCGATTCCGCCGACATGGATTTTTGAGGGATCAAGGAGGTATATACGTTATAGGAAGGCGGCCAGATATCCGCCATTGCGGTCGCCGCGGTTTCATGGAAAATTCGTTGTATAAACTAACATTTGTTTTAAATGAAATACCTACACAACAAAAACCAGTGCATTAACCCTTTGCGGATGCTTCCCTTTAAGGTGAAGTGAAACACGTCGAGGAACTTGATCGACATCGAACAAGAAGATTTTTCTAAATACCTACGTTGTCGACGTTGGTTTTTATATTGATAGCTGTGTCGAATTATATTGGGTATTGTACCAAGTGGCATACTCCACCTGTCATTTTCGTACAATAATTATAAAGGAATCGAAATAAAACTTCAGAAATCCTCTGGATTCATGCTTTCCGGGGCCCTAATTGAATGCAGAGGGACACTCTGCGCCATCTGTGATTTCCAGGTCAATTAAATTTTCACTCCGAGACCTCGTATTCCCATCGTTTGAGCATAGAAGTGTATAAGCAGGTATAAGACACTTTTTTTGCCTTTATCCCGTTCAAATGCGAGTTTATCGATTACCAGAGGGTTCTAAATTGTCGTAAAATTGTCCTGACCCTTTCGTTTCTCATATCAGAGCCTTCGATAATTGTATATCGATCGAAATATAAGAGCTCGACGCCATTTTAGTTCTGATCTGGGCTAAGTTAAGAAAAATTAAAAAAAAATCCAACTTTTGAATGTGTCAGGACAATTCTTACATGATCACGAGTCATGTGTCAAAGTTTCGGGCAGTTTGGTCTAATACCCTTAAAAAAAAAAGTGTTGTATTCTAATCGACTGATTTGAGTGGGGTTTCACTTCACCTTTCCTATCTATTTCATGTTGATAGGAATTCTATTTCATGTTGATAAGAATTCTATTTCATGTTGATAAGAATTCTATTTCATGTTGATAAGAATTCTATTTCACGTTGATAAGAATTCTATTTCGTGTTGATAAGAATTATATTTTGTGTTGATAAGAATTCTATTTTGTGTTGATAAGAATTCTATTTCGTGTTGATAAGAATTCTATTTCGTGTTGATAAGAATTCTATTCCATGTTGATAAGAATTCTGTTTCACGTTGATAAGAATTCTATTTCATCACATTATTTAATATTTTACCATTATATGCTAAGAATTATTTAAAGTATACTGTTACCCCCTGAACGCACCATATAAAAAGTGCGTGGCAGTCAACGTGTTAACGGGACAAGAGAAAGACCAGTACAACTGTAGTTTCGCAATTTATTATAAATCTTATACTTCCTATGTACATGCTTTATACTTTTGCCTGACAGTTCTGTATCTATAAATTCAATGACGTAAAAAAGTAAGACGTCCTGTTCATTGTTTAGTCCAGAGCGATTTGCGGGCCTTATACCGCCCAGACAAATGGAACCGCGAACATTACCGAGGCTAATACTTGGCAATAATAAAATCACACATTCCCCATAGAAAAAATACACTCTCTTTTCTATGGACCGCGCGGGACTAAACGCAAAAAACGGCCGTTTGAAAATCTGGCTTTGGTCGAATAATTCACCCTCTACGCTTTCTACGCCTCTAACACGTAATCGCGGGATCGTATTGCAGAATTCGAAATGTGAGCTCGCGAGCTACACTTCCACTTGCTACAATCCAGTTACCGACTGTAATCACTCGTCATGATACCACGCAAGGATTCATATTATCAGCGCTCGACTTCGCAAAGGCTGAAACAGTATATAGTGAAATTTGGAAGGTCTTCTTACGAGCGAATCTTTTCAAACGTGTTCCATCAAATGCCTAAATGGTCGTATTATAAAATATCTACTTCATTTATCAGGATTAAGAAAGAATGGAACGTTTCAAAAAAGCCCGCGCTGACCGTGCTGCCACGTGACGGCAAGCAGGGGCAACACTCGTGACGTTTGAGTCAGTGAAGTTTTGAAAGTTTCCTTTTGAACGAATCTTTTCAAACGCGCCCTATCAAATGCCTAAATAGTCGCATTATAAAACATCTACTTCTTTTAACGAGATTAAGGGAGAATGGAACGTTTCAAAAAAGCCCGCGCTGACCGTGCTGCCACGTAACGGCAAGCAACGGCAACACTTGTGACGTATGGGCCAGTGAAATTTGGAAAGTTTTCTTACGAACGAATCTTTTCAAACGCGTTCCATCAAATGCTAGCTAACAATGGATCATTCACCATGTATAGATAACTCTGCCTTGAATAACAGATTAATAATAGTCACTTATCAAGTTCAATTCAAGAAAAAGGGCTGCTAGAATCGTTTATAGTATTATAACAGCATTTCGTCCTAAAACATTGTTAGCGAAAGGTGACTACAACGGCGTTTCACTTCGGAAGATCACCAAAGAGATAAATAAATGTAGCAATTACTCACTTCTCTATGTCCCATATCAAGTCAAGTACAATTATCTATCTGAAAATACTATCTCACATGAAACGTTCCAAACGGAAACTGTCCAATAATTGCTTCCACCAAAGTTTACACGAAATACGTTCATATCGATTATTTTCAAGACAGAAAGCCTTAATAATCTCAAAAGAAAACGAGAAAAACAGTTACTATCTCTTCACAAGGTAGATTTCCATATTCGTGCCACAAATTTATGAAGACAATACTACAGAAGATTGAAAAAAAATTCTTTCATCGAACATCCCAAATTTCATCTATACGTGCGGAATAATAGCGATCGGACCTCCCATCTTACTTAAAAGTAGAAAAAACTTAAGGTGATATGAAAGGGTTATTCTATATATAAAAACATAAAAATATATATAAAGCTTTTCTCCAAACCGGATGCACCGAATCATTTGAAACGTTAACACGTGATTATGGAGGCCCTAAGAAAAAACGCAATGCTCGTAAAATTTCATTTTTCAACCAAAAAATTTATTTCATTTAGCCCAGACTAGAACCAAAATCACATTTTCTTGTGAAAAATGAAATTTCACGAGGATCGCGTTCTTCCTTAGGGTCTCCATGATCACGCGTTAAAGTTTCAAATTATTCGACGCAGCCAGTTTAAAAAAAAGTTTTATAAACATTTTGACGTTTCATATACATGAAATGACACTTTAATATCGCCTTAAGCGTCTCGTTCTACCGTATAAATGTATAAACGTGGAGGCTGCGCCCTTAAGATGACATGAAAGGGTCATTCTACAAATATAAAACAAGAAAATGTTTATAAAACTTATCTGCAAACTGGGTGCATCAAACAATTTAAAACTTTACCACGTGATTTGTGGAGGACCTAAGAAAGAACGCGATGCTCGTGAAATTTCATTTTTGACGAAAAAAAAATGTAATCATGGTTCTGGTCCAGGCTAAATAAAAAAAAAATGTATTTTTTATTGAAATTTCACGAGCATCGCGTTCTTCCTTAAGGCCTCCCTAATCGCGTGAAGCTTCAAATTATTTCCTGCGCCCAGTTTGGAGGCAAATTTTATACATATTTTCAGGTCTTATGTATACATAATGGCCCTTTCATATAACCTTAAATTCGTGCATCGCAAGCGTTTCAAACTAGATCTGACTATGCGCAAATGAGCAGTCTTAAACCGCCTAATCTATAATCTCGATTAGATTTACTTTTACAAAAACTGTGGTACCATGTACGTCGCTACAATAATATACAGTACTGTAGTCCATATACAGAGGTATACATGAGAAACGACCTTTACACGTTTTACATTCTAAAAGGAAACGTTTAACGTTATCAAGTAAAAAACGGTATATCTAGGTGCAGTATTCGTGAAAGTTGACAAAATCATTCCGCCATTAACGCCTGCCTTAAGGGGGTACACCACTTTGACGCGCCCAAAAATTGCGGTTTTTCAGGAATTTTTTTTTTAACAGTTAAAACGTTTTTATCCAAATTAAAGTACAGTAAGGTATTGTACTACTATCAAACTCGCTCACTGGGAAAATCGGTGATCGTGCGGTGGGCAGGTGTATAGGTGTAAACGCGTTTTTCTTAAAACTGCATTTGAAAAATCGGTGGGCACTCTAGCTCCGCCAATTTTCAATCAATCGTCTCGATTCTTTTTTTTATTTTATTCGTGATATGTTTATCTAGCGAAATACGTATGGTTTTTTTTTTCAATGTATTGATATTCGCATTTTTTATACAACATTAATTAACGAAATTTAGGGCAAAATACGTATCTTTCCTTTAAAATCGACGCCATTTTGTGAAAAATGCATATTTTTGAAAACGGCTACGTATTTCGTTTGCTTTTGTGCTACAGAAACTAATTATTTTTCGTTCATTGATCTAGCTTAAACCTGGACCGAGTTATCGTGCCCACCGCACGATCATCGATTTTCGCAGCGCTCCGGTAAATCGCCTTTCAGCCGCCATTTTTGTGAATAAAAAAAAATACAAAAAAATATATTTTATTGTTTAATAGTAGCATAATACCTTACTGTACTTTAATTTGGATAAAAAGGTTTTAATTCTTGAAAAAAAAATTCTTGAAAAACCGTAATTTTTGGGTGGGTCAAAGTGGTGTAACCCCTTAAGAGAATGACAATGTCGTGAGAAAGGGTCTGATGATTGTTCGGAATCCTCGATACCTTCCGAAGGTCAGGCAGCCTTAATCAATCGATGAGGTATTGGATTTAAAATACAATTTCGACGTCAATGGGAACGTGGCTTAATGGTTCTACCGGCTAGTATTTGTACTTAGGATAAAAGAAAGTAGCGTAATGCATGTCTGTTTTTGTTCGCAAAAGCAAGAATTCGGGACAACCAGTCGACAAGGTCTTATCCTTAAATTAAGGGGCTATACCACTGTGAACGTCGAAAAAATTACACACTTTTGACCATTTTTTTTCTCTCAAAAAGTACTGCATACAATGGCACAAACTTTTGTTTCCCATGACAGGTGAAATGTAAGACAATATAGGAAAATTTTTCTTTTTAGTAAAAAATACATATCTATTTATTAATTATTACAAGCGTAGAGTAGTAAGAAAATATTGTTGCTGGCGCAGGTGATTGAAGCCCTCCTGATGATCTGAAACAAGAAATTCAAAAAGATTCCTATTCTGTAATGTCGCAATCGTCCGTCCCTCAATCATCGTAAAATTTTTATTTTAACTCATACTTTAACCTCAATTATAGTGCAAAAAAATGTATTTTTTTTAACTCTTTTGGAAAAAAAACGCCGCCATTTTGTTAATTCATTATATAAATCATTAATCGAAGTACAGACGATAGCGACGGCCTTACAGATTAAGAATCTTTTTGAAATTTTCCTTTCACATCACCAAGAGGGCTTCGATGGCCAGCGCCATCTACAATTTTTTTGTACTACTCTACGTTTCTAATAATAAATAAATAAATATGTATTTTTTACTAAAAGGAAAAATTTCCCTGTATTCTCCTACATTGGACCTTTCATGGGAAAAAGTAGTTTCTGCCATTATATGCAGTACTTTTTGAGAAAAAAAATTGTCAAAAGTGTGTAAGTTTTTCGACGTCCACAGTATAGCCCCTTAAAATAATAAGTTCACGTATTTACAGGTGTCACCGCGACAACTAAACACGAGCCAATTGCGGTTTTCCATACAAAATTTTACGACTTTGTTTAACAAAAGGAGAGGCTTTTGTCAAATGCATATTAAGGTGCGTGCTAATGTGCGCCGAGTTCCACGCATTTGGCAATTATTGATAGTGTGTTGATATTATACAAAACAATTTCGTATTTTTCTTCTTTTTTTTCTGTTTTAACTAAAAGCAACGTTAATGCATACCTTACACTAAGATGTATCTTTCGGTCAGAAATTAATAAAGGCTTAAAATGGTCTGTCGATAATCCCTTATTCAGTTTCATCGAAGTCATGGAGGTGAAGTCGAAGCGCTAAAGTGTGATTATCATTAAAGTATTCTTTTATACACTTGACCACAGCTAGTTTACACATGTTGCAATCAGTGCAATGCAATCATACGCAAAAAAAAATATATATATGTATATATATATTTTTTAAGTCAGCGTGAAATACGCAGCTTATTAAGTATAATGAAACGTTTGGACCTTCCTCATCGATTACCGATTACAGAATCACTAATCACCCCTCAAGCTATTGTACAATGTCTAGCTCACTTACTACTTCTCTCAAAGCGAGAAGCATACAGTGACAGTCAGAAGAAACATTTATTCCTTTGACTACAATAAACAATTTTCACTTTCCAAGAAAAAAAAAAAAGAAAAATTGCAAATATTTGTCCAAACGATCAAGCTCATTTTAACGTCATCAAATAAGAATATTCGTGTCTTCGTAACGATTGGAAACATCATCAGATTTAACATCTTCTAACGTCGAATCAATTCGACTTCTTGAATCCGTCAAAACAATATAAATCTTGTATGTTCATTAAACAGCAACTTGACTTTACCCTAAATTCCTAGTCACTTCTCCGATCCTTTACCCATTTTACACAATCTTAACATCAACTTTTGATTACTTGTCTTAGAATAAAACCTCAACTCTTGCAACCGCTAAACTTTAGTATTCATCCCCATCAAGCCGGAAGTATCCACAAGTATCATCTAACGATCACTAAAAAATAGTCTGCCTTTAAAATTACGTCTTACATTTTTTTCCTCACAATCCACAACTTTTTTACAACCTTCTGCCAGTTCGACAACCCTCGAGTGAAAATTGTACACTGCCGCCAAAAAGAAAAAAAGAAGAAATAGAAAAGTGTTCAACACAACTGTCACTAAACGCCCCCTACGAGAAAAGTACTAAACGAAACAGCGTACAATAAAAAAAAAGAAGAAAATAAAATAAAAGACTCAACCGTGGCATGTGCAATCCTAACGCTTACATTATACTGCACCACGAGTTCTTAACTTCCTGATCAACCAAGATATGATCAGCATCGCTGTCGATGCCGTCAAACTTCGACTTGCTCGACCGGAACGTGTAGGCTTCCCTGTTAGGCGTCGATTCCTGGATCGGCCTACGTAACCCTTTAAGTAAGCCAATCGAAGAATTGAGAAAATTCTCCGAGCCAGTTTTAGCCTTCTTGGCCGATTCCTCACTCGTTGAGTCGAGTTTGCGTTTACGATCCATGGGACTCCCATTGCAAGAGAGAGTATTCGTCAAGCCTGTGCGATGATGCAGGACCTTGTAATCGGTTAGTTCATCGGGAGCGATCGATGCCGAGGACGTGTTAACGTATAAAGAATTATTCGGAGATAGTCTGTAGTCTCGCAGAGTGACGTGTCTCATACGACTCAAGGAATGCCTGCCAGAGATATTCCTCAAAGCGCGTCCGAATGACTCCTCTCTGTGTCTTTCGGCCAAGCTGTTCTCAGTGGCGCTAGTGTCGTAGAGCTTCGAGTTATCCTTCAAGCAGTCGTTGAGCTTGATCTGTACATCTTTCAGCATTATCGAGGAATCGTAGCATACAAAGGAAGCTTCGTTAGCGGTCTTTTCCTTCTCCTTAGTGGCCTCGGAAGTAGTTACAGGCTCGATAGTTTCGCAAACCTCCGGTGGCGCTAGTTCCGTGACATCCGGCGAGCAGCTCTCAGTGTCCGTCGGTAGATCGTTCTGTAACTCCTCCTTCTCCCGCACCGCGGCGCTCTCTTCGACCTGATCCTCCACTTTCTCGGTAACTTTCTCGCTCTCGTTTGATACTTCTTCAGCCGGTTCAGCTTCTGGTTTCGACTGACTGTCATCGGTCTCCAGGCTCAACTTGATCTCGCATTCTTCGGCATCTTCTGTCTCTTTGGTCTTTTCCTTGGGTTCCTTTATCTTTGGGGCATTTTCTAGAGGCTCCGGTGTGTCTTCGACGGAGTCCTCTCTGCCATTCACTTCTTCGGGAGCTGCCTCCTCCTGAGGAGGTGCTTCTTCCGCCGTGTTTTTCACTTCGTCCTTAGTTGCTGTCGGTTCCTCCGTCTCGTTCGCCTTGCTGGTACTGCATCCCTCTACTTTGTCTTCCGTCTGAATCGATACCTTCAGCTGGACCTCTGGCTCCTCCGACTCGGGACGCATCTTCGACGCCTGACCCTTCGAGCTTTTCACGGATGAACCCAACTTCTTCTCTTCTTTCTCGGATGTGCTTGCGCTCATGGGGCGACTTGAGTGTTTCGGCATGTGACCCAAAACGGTCTTAGCCGGACTGCGTAGTTTGCTCTGTAATACATAATTAATATTAGTAGATATCCAACTGAAATGATTGTGGTAACATTTCAGTAGTCGCTTCTGACTTAAGGGATTACATGCAGTTGTCATTGGCGAAATTCAAGAATTTCTTTTCATAACTAAAATGCATTTCTTAATCGAAAACAGAGCGTGATTTCATAGTACAATTATTGAACGTAATATATCTTTTTTTTTGTCAGGATATATTAAAAAATTGGCGAGGTACAGCAATTCTCCGACGAAGTTTTTCTTTTTTTTTTTTTTTGCGGTGACCACGATATCTCAAAAAATATTTCACCAATTTCGACAGTTTTACATCGATCTCTTCGTCGTTATTTTACCGAAATGACATATGGAACGCTTCGGTTCGTATAATTCTCAACGTAGGCTGTAAAAGACTTCAATATAAATATAAATGTCGGAGACGTGACTCGCCAGCTTATGTTACCATTTGAGTATTCAAAATAACATTACCGCCAAAAAGGGTATAGATGAATTATAATTTATCAACCTCGATTAAATTTCTCAGTGCCTTTCATATCATCTTAACGTGATATGAAAAGGTCAGCCTATTTATATCTGAGAGGTCCAATGGTTGGTCCAAGTATTTTCCGAATTGCATGTACCGATTAGTTTCAAATTTTACCACGGGAATATGGAGGCCCTAAAGTAGGTCCTGAAGCTCATGAAATTTAATTTTTCATCAAAAATTTATTTATTTATCATGGTCTAGAACCATCATGGCGTGATCCGTACACGTTTTCGATGTTTTACAATTCTTGGAGGATTAGAATCGAAAATGAAGAGTTTTAGGACCTAGCTCGTATAATTTAGAATACCATAGAAATGGAATATTACAGAGTCAGGTGGGAAAATATGGAAAATACTATCACCAACGATTGCAAGAGAATGCTGGCTGGTTTTAGGGCAACACGTGCTCTTAGAGCATAAGTTTAGTTGCAGCCAAACGTCACAGATGGCGCCGTTGGTCCTAAACAATCGTTAGAATAATGAGCACGGGATTTAGACAGTTTTACATCGATCTCTTCATCGTTACTTTACCGAAATGACACATGGAACGCTTCAGTTCATATAATTCTCAACGTAGGCTGTAAAAGACTTCAATATAAATATAAATATCGTAATAAACATTGAATATAAATGTCGGTGACGTGACGCGCCAGCTTATGTTGCCACTTGAGTATTCAAAATGGCGTTACCACCAAAAAGGGTATACCCAATTCAGAGAATACTTTCCCCAACGATTTGCTTCTCAGATATATATATATAGGCTGACTCTTTAATATCACCTTAAAGACATGTAAGTTTCCTCAGGGCTGGACCTCCTCAGATACCAAAACAGCTATCGAAAATGTTTATTTGGCCGTTTAATAGGTGATAACACGCTGATGCAAGAGGTAAAGAGATACAGTAATCATTGCACCGTTGGTTATTAATTTTAACGTTACGTTATAATATTCTTTACGTATAATCAAATTCGTTGATGTAACAAATTATAAAGTGCCATACCTTAAATGCTTTTGCTGTTGGAATGGGTATTCGCTTTTGCACCCCGCTCAATCTCGGTCTGAAAGAAAAAACGATTAATAATTAAAGATAAGAGCGTATCGAGTCATTACATTCTACGGGAAGAGTTACTGGAGGTGATGAGAGGTTGTACTTCAATTAAGCTTACAAATAGGCCGAACCAAAGTTTCTCATATAGGTAATTCCATAAATTCATGCCTTTAAGCACTCCATATTCGCCACAAAAACATTCTCCGAAACATAACACCGAGATTTTAAGGTCGCTCGCGATATCCTATCCTACACCGAACGTCAAAATCAGGTATCAACCGTGAATTCATGAATAACAAAAATGAAAATCATAATTGATTATGGCTCGTGTCGACGTGTTCATAACTTGCGCGACATCTTGCTAGAGCAACATGCAATTTCAGGTACACTAACAATAAACTTGCAGCAAATTTCTTGCTGCAAATCGCTCTAGCAAGTTCTTGGCAAAACGACTTGCAAGAGTGAAACGACAGATGGAGTACGCCATTTAACAATATTCAATATAATTGGACACAATTGTCGGTATGAAAACATGTGCTCTTAGAGCATTACTTTAGTTCCAACTAAACATCACAGATGGCGCCGTTGGCCCTCAACAGTCGTTAGAATAATGAATTCACGTGATTTCAACAGTTTTACATCGATCTTTTCATCATTACTTCACCGAAATTACATATGGACCGCTTCAGTTTATATAATTCTCAACGTAGACTGTAAAAGAGACATCAACATAAGTATAAATGTCGGTAACGCGACGCGCTAGCTTATGTTACCACTTGAATATTCAAAATGACGTTACCACCAAAAAGGATATAGATGAATTATAATTTATCGAGCTCGATTAAATTTCTCAGCGCCTTTCATATCATCTTAACAGTGTATGTACAAGGAACAGCGTCAGGAAATGGACGTATCGGTACCTTCCTTCACCACAAAACAAACCAAATCGTTACGGTGCAAACCAAAGCACGCCGTCAAAGGGCAAGAATCGACCGAGTACCGAGGTACGAGACGATAACCAAAGCATCGAAAGAAGAGAAACTATGGTAAAGCTCTCGAGACTGGTTTGACGTGATTAAATTACAAACCTGTAGAGATTCTCGGACTCGCGTCGTTTCTCAGGCAAGCTCGACGCGGCGTTGGTTGATTTAAGTCTCCGAACGTATAAATTTCTCTCATCACCCCCAGGAGCCTTCTTTGGCGTCCTACCCATGGCTACGATGTAGACGTTACCTTGACCGAATAAGGGTGTACTTATGGAACAGAAAATCCTCCCAAACTCTGTCCCCTTTCCGTCGCTCTCTCGCTCTCTCTTCCTCCCTCTCTCTCCAGCTCGCACCCTGCTCTCTCCCTCTCAGGACTCCTGAAAAACCACCAGAGCATGACTATGATTCAAAGTGCTTACATTATTTATCTTATATTTACCTTATATTTAAAATAAAGAATATATCATCAATTGAAATTGTAATCCAATAAATGAAAGTCAATTTTAAAATTGTGTTGTTAGCGTCGCATGACTTTTGTAGACAACTGAATATATTATTATTACATGTACCTTCGATATATAATGAAGTTAGATAGTANATATATTATTATTACATGTACCTTTGATATATAATGAAGTTAGATAGTAAATATATAAGTAAAAGGTTTATAAGGTAAATGTACCAGTGGCGAACACTTAAGACGCAGTTCAGATTCATATAAAAATTAAGCACATAAAAACCGATATGCGGTACAGTTGACTTAAATCAACGTAAAAAACAATTTCTAGTTTCCAAAACACATACTATATATATGTAAGTATTGAGTAATTTATTATTTATGCTGCGATGACGATGGAAAAGTCGAATGTACCAGTGTTCGAACAGCCATTATTCGTGGAATGCTTAATAAAAGGAAATATTTAAGGTGGTGTTCGACCACTGGTACACTTACCTTACTCACATCTCAATTTTTAGTGTTAAAAGGTGTGGTTTTGCCATTTAAAGACTACAGCCAAAAGACGTCTTTCGACACTAATACGTATTATGAATACTACCAAAGTATTTAGTTATCGATGTACAATTTCATAAAATCATTTTGTTTAAACACATCCTTCTCCCAATAATAGGCATATGGTGCTACACAAAAATTTAAACTTACAATTAATTGTTAAAATAGGTTATCGCAGGATTTCATCATATCGCATTCAATGTTCCAGTTAACCTATTTAATTTTATATATTAAATTACCTCGAGATTTAAAAAACAGAACTATTCTTTTCAGACATACCTTAAGATTTTTACTATTACAATGGTTACTACAATGACAATGCTTCATGTATTTTTATTTAATTTGCCAAATGAAATTCATCTAGAAAACAGAATCTAATCATATTTTCTTCTATCGATGTATTAACTGCAAGTCATGAGTACAAATCTGCGTTCTTACACAAGTAGAATAAAACATCTACAGATAAACGAGCCTGAATTCGGTTATCAATGTCCATGTAAAAATAAATTCTTGAGCAACAATAATCTAAAACATTACATACTTCATTTAGCACATTAACGTTTGTCCTAGATAAATGATCTCCATTCATTAAAATACCGATAGTACAGTTATTTAAATAAAGTGTGTATTTCTTATATGCAGTAGTTTATTAACTTCACGGTACACTGAATGTTAATAACGAAGCAGATAAAGACATCACTGGACGATGTAATTTATCAGTAAGAATTGCGGATAACAGATTTTTCAACCAATAAAATAAACATATAATTGAAAAAAAATCCCAAAACTACCTGGACCGTAATTACATAATTGATTGTAATATTCCAGTCAGCCAGACTTTTTAGTAAGATGTCCGGAATATTACTATGTCATAAGATACCATTACGTTACTCAGACTTTGTGATAAAGTACGATAAGCAGTGGTTAGCACACTAGTGCAATATCTAAAGAATTCGACCTCGGCATTAAAATATATCATGTATCGATAACATCGAAATATCGCCATTACAAAATTTCAAAATTATCTTTCAGATCCTCAATTCGATACTCTCCAGAATGTACTTTTGTATCAAGAAACTTGGTAGAGCTTCGAGCTAAATATATTTTTCAGCGAAAAGCTTCTAGCGTCGAGTGCTGCGAGATAAATGAATACATGAATGACGTTATCAAACTGAAGGACACTGAATGCATTCTATGTAAAACTATTTCATTATAATTTCGTATTTTTTGGTATCCCATAGCGAAAGAAGACATACATTACAAATACATGTTTTATAATGCAAGTATACCGTTACAAGGCAAAGGTGAGACACATGATTCAAGGATTGTGATTTGTAACGTAAGCACATTCCTTGAAACATGAGCATATGAGCTTTGATTTCAGCTCTTGACCATTACATTCACAGTATAAACAATCTATAATACTTATGTGTAATTCTTTCACATATATTATAATTTAAAACTTTCCCCATACGCAAAGTGTACTCAAAACAGTCACTAACATAAATGCTTGATCGCGAATTGTTTCGACAGATATCATGAATATATAATTCATAACAGCATAAACATCATGTATTTATCCTATGTTATGAATCATGTATTCATAAAAAAGTATACATACATTCAAAGTCATCGAAAGTGTACATACATTTTTTTGGAGTACCTCATAGTTTACAATCTGCGATTTGAATAAAAAATATGTATTAAATGTTAAATATGCATTGTAACATGTATATGCAATCAACATTATAAAGCCAATTCAGTCGCTTCACAAAAAAATACTCATTAATTAATATAACATGAAATATGATAATCTTTTGAAACTGGAGCATTAGATGACGACGGCATCAAACGTAACCGAGTCTTAACACTCGTCAAAGCATTCAACATGTAGAAACTAAATATAAATCAATATTTATCAACTAGCAAATAGAATCAAAGTAAAATTAATTGTTCCTCTGCGTACTATAATCTAGAATGTAATCTAGTTTCTTTGTCTTGATTAAGAATTCGAAAAATTCATAATAAAGATACAAGAGCTGTACCGAAGTAGTAAAGAAAGTAACGCAAATTATAACTGAAGTTGAAAACACAACTATAGTTACGTCGACCTTCGCATTGCCTTTGACGCAACCCTTGTACATCATGCATCAATGTTTACAATGTGGCTCCGAGCAAACAGCTCTAGATGCATAATTTATAAGTATAAATATACCCCTCGTTTCTTTCGCGAACGCGAAACGTTATCGTTTATACATTCTTCACCTCGGCTTGCACCTCTAGCCTCTTTATCTGCAGTTGACGAACCTATTTCCCTCTGCATTTCGTTCTCCATTTTATCAAGTCACATTCAACACCGGTCACAAAATACAAAGATCCGTACTTACACCTCACTTTCGTCATTAAGACATCCATTACGTATACTCCAAATAGCCAAGACACCTTTTAACGCTAAAAGTTACGAATGCGAACCTAAAACAATATCATTACATACATAATTCTAAGCAATTCCCTTCGCCCTTACAAACTCAACGACACGTAACACAAGTTTGTGGTAATATAGTTACAAATGCAGTACGCAATGTACAACACTGGATACGTAGTCCACAATATAGTAAAGGTATACAGTTGCAGGTCTGCTGGATGTACCAAGAATGTGGAGTGTTATTACATAGAGTGTTAACGTGTGCGTCATTGGGCTCGGCTTGCGCCCTTAGCCTCTATATCTAGTCAACGGGCTCGTACCTTATTTTCCGTCTTTCTCTCTCTATTTTCCCTTTTGAGTGAATATCGAGCCAACGTCTTTCGCCGCAAGTAGGTGCGATCACATAATCGCGCGTCTGGTCAGGGAGGAACTAATTACGGTGGACGCGCCACGTACGCTTCGGGACCTCTGCGTAGATAATCGCGCCGAATTTCTCGTAGCGAATCGGCCGAGCGCGCTTCGCTTCGCGTCGCACCTCGCACCTCGGGGAATCGATCGCACCCGGCGTCCTGCTGCCGGCTCGCGCTACCTCCGTAATCGAATTGAAGACTTTACGTAACCGATAAATACACCCAAGGACGTATTCCGCCAAGAGCACACTATGGAGCAAACTCGAGAGCCGGCCGCTGGTCTGGGAGCTTCGTTGTCCCGGTACGTACTTCGCCACGAACACAGCCACACAACACAGAGCGGAGCGCAGGGACGCGCGAGGGCACGTAGGGCACGCGCAGCCACGTTCGCGGAGCTTCGGCTTTCTTCGGCTTCCTTCGGCTTCCGCCGGCCTCAGCGACGCATCGCCTACGCCCTGCCTAATACGGTTCCCCCACCCGTGCTAGTGGGAGACCGAGAGAGACCTATCCATCTTCCTTTATCTCGTACTGGGGGTAAAATACGTAAAGCAAATTGAGCGAAAATGTGAAAAATGAGTAGCTCACGGTATTAAGGAACGGTTTTGGTGGTGAAAATGCGAGACCACTTATATAGACTGGCTCGGCAGGAATTTTTAAACGAAATGATGAAGCATACAAGAAAAGATAGAAAAATAAGCGCCGTGAACGCCATCTTCCACGGATTTTCACATCGAAATTCAAAATGGAAAACCTCCTGGGTCTTTTGATTTTTGGCAACAATCGTATTCGGGGATGTAACAATAACCTTATTAGAAGAAGAAGCGAATTATGTGATGCCTCAGACCCATTCTCGTTAGAAGAAAGAGAATTTACTAGAATGTACATACAGGTTAGCTTTTGTTATTGCGAGGTTATATTACATAGATGGCGTTCACAGCGCTTATTTTTCTATCTTTTCTTGTATGCTTCACCATTTCGTTTAAAAATTCGTGTCGAACCAGTTCATATGAATGGTCTCGCATTTTCACCACCAAAGATGTTCCGTAATACCATGAGCTACTCATTCTTCACATTTTCACTCAATTTGCTTTACGTAATAGACCCCCAGTTTACTATATATTTCAGTGCACGTGACCTGCCAACAGCCAATAGGAGGCGTTGATGTCATTCGTGTCTGTTCGTGTTGGTTCGTGTCGCTTCGCCTTTAGAAAAGAAACCGTCGAGGGATCGTCTCACGCTCCGGTCCCACGTTTCCCCGCTATTCTTTTTGCGCGATCGACATTTTCTTATGCGCGTCGAGATGGGCACTAAAACGTAAAAATGGATTTCAACGTGCGCTACAAGTCTCCCTTTAATATCAGATCCAATTCGTGAGTGCCCTATGCATCCGAGACTGCGTATTACTGGGGAACAAACCGTGAATTCATGTCTCTATGCGATTATGCTTTGCGCACATCTCGCAAAAGGATGCGCACAGCGTCGCGTGATTACGTACTCCTGTGAGGTATGTGTAAATGCTTTATTTTCACTCTGGTGAGGTAACGCTCTAAAGTTCCACGTGGTAATGTGAAATGGGACGTTGGAAGAATTCCACACACACGTGTTCCCGGATAAAGAGTACGACACGCTCGTAAAAATGACCGTAAACACATGTGAACAACACCATTAATGAATCGTTTATTGTACGTAAACTATATATCAACTAAATACTTTTTATGTATTATATATACACCTAAATACATTTGTTACAGTATTTGTATTGCTTAATAACAACTTGTGAGAACTGTTGAAAATAATTCTTTTTTTATTACGTTTGTATAACTTATAAATAGACTAGTTTTGTATAATGTGCTCGAAACATTAACTTTCAATTGAACGTTATTCTTTTTAAGGATTATCATATTTTCATCCACAAATTGAACTCTTGAATGATGGGATCGTAACGTCAACTACGTCCACTTAATACACTACTAAAAATTTAAATGGCGATCAGTCGATCGCCAAAACTTGATCAATTTTGTTCCTTTGATTTTCTAAATTGGTTAGAACAGATATAATTTATCCCATATAAATAAATGTAAATTAGGACGTACGTGGGAAACAATTCATTTTTATATTAAATTTTGTTCCTAAGATTATTTAAGTATGAATTAAATTACAGCAGTGAACAGCAACGAACAACTTTGTCCATGAAAGACGTGGCAAAACCAGGTCGTGATATCATAATGAAGATGCCGCTATCCTCAGGACCTGGAACGTCGTCAACGGTGGTCTCTTCCAGGTTGCCCAGTCCCATTGGCGAATCATTCGATGAAAATCCAAACAGACTGACTACGTATTTACAGCAGCTGGCTGGTTGCAATGAGCTGGAAGTTGATTGCATCGTCAAAGATCATTGTTATTCCCGACCTTGGAATTGGAAGCCTGAAAATGTTTACGTCAAGCCGATGAAGAAACTTTTCTTCGTTAAGAATCAAAATACCCTCTCCACGTAAGTGAATAAAATCTCTTAAGATATCTTTATTACTGTATTAAAATATGTTCGGTGTAACCTGTTAGAGAAACCTCTCCACGTAATGTCATGATTAAGGTGGAGAGAGAAAAGATATTTCTACAAAAATTAAATGGTTAAGTACAGATCAAAATGTTTCCTGTGTGGAAGATATAAATTTATCTTCTTTACGATGAATTACTATTTTCAGTAAATAAATCTTATCTAATGACTATACATGCATTTCTGGCGAAGTCATTGATTACGATTCTGCTCGACTCCTTAGGAATAACTCATTAGTTATAAGGAATAAAAACGTAGACATAATTATCAAGCACGAAAGACTCCGATTGCAACCTAAAAGTCCTGTAAAAATCTAACGTTAAATTATAAAATAATCAGAGGAAACTCCTAAGTTAAACACGAAGTATAACTTTCATTTGGAATATCTTTTCCATGCAATTCTATCCGCTCTGTGAATCATCCTTAACGTGATTTCTCTGTTGAAATTAGGGAAAAAGAAAAGGACGACGAGGAGGTAGAGATCGAGAAAGACATCGGCGAACCACAGGCCCCTCCGTACGACTTGACGAAGAGTCGTCACCTAATGGACGAGTTTCAGAGGCTAGCGAATTTTGCTCGGCCCGAAGAGAGCGACGACTGGGAGGAGAAAATAGAGAAAACCCTGTGGTCGCCGGTGCAGAATCGGATTTTCACCAAGGTGGTTAGAATATTGACCTCCGAGAGGCTTGCCAGGTTAGCCAAGGCGAACAGCTTAATGGAACCGATTTTTCGACGGACATCGGTAGATACGGCGGCGAGAAGATTTCGGGAAACCCTGGCATCAGCCGGATGGGACTGGAGGGTGACGCAGTGGTTGCACAGTCTACTCTTCGACCGTCTTCCTCAAGAGTACCTGGCCATATATCTAGATATCCTCCAGACGCTGAGGTTGAAGATTCCCCAGCTCGTTGACAAGATGATTGCGGTACAGCCGAATATTAATGCAAAAGGTGGACCGATAACCTGGGAGACCTTGGGCTCACTTCTGAAAAGATCTTGGGATCCCATCGGTCCTGCGTTGAGTGCTAATAGACCAGTAAATACATCATGCTCATTTATTACAAACGTAGTGTCAGTGCTAGTTGGTTCGGTCTCGTAAAGTGAAATTACGTGCTTTCAGAAAAAGTTACCGGGCAATCCCATTTTAATAGTAGCTCCTTCCGGTATCGGGAGCAGTGTTTCCTCTCGACAACACAAGTGGATTTCTCAACTGGGCTCGCTGGGGATGGTGGTCAATGTGCACACCCACCTAGGCCTGGCTGCCAACAGAATGACGATGATGACTTGTATCGACCAACTGGTGCAAGCCACCAGGGCGAAGATTCAGGATGTCAGAGGAGATTGTCCTGGTAGACCTATAATCCTCATCGGATTTAATACTGGCGCTGCGCTTGCTTGCCAGGTACCAATTAATCATATATTTTCTTTTACTTTATTAAGGCTAATTTACACGGTGCCAGTAATTTGTACGAGTCACTAAAACCGAGTATTACTCGTCTCGGGTAAACTGCCATTCTAGTACTGGAGTGGAGTACTCACCTAATTGTAAATGCCATTGCGAATCGAGTGAATAGAAGAAAGGCAAAAAAAATGTCTTACGCGCTTTTATGCTAAAATGAAGGTAACACGAGATCTCGGAGAGAAAATTTAGTTGAAACTTAAATCACAGATGGCGCAGGATGGCACTTTGCAGTTAATTAAGGCATAAAAAGCCATGAATCCAGGGGGTTTCTGGAATTTTACTTCGATTTCTTTATAATTAATGTACGGAAACGACATATGGAGTATATCATTCAGTACTATACTCGATATAATACGATGTAGCTGTAAATATAAATACGAACGTCGATAACATAGGTCTTTAGGATCTTTTTTTTACCGATGTCGATTAAATGTCTCCTCGCTTCACCTGAAAGTCAACTCGGATGAACATTTTGTCGTATCTATGCACCGACAAATAGTAACTAGAAAACGACACGAAGGCAAATCCATTGTTACCCTTTTTTTCAATCATTCTTTCTTCTCTTTTTTTAGGTAGCGCAGTTGGAACACGTAACCGCAGTTATATGCCTTGGTTTCCCTTTTTTAACGGTGGATGGCAAGAGAGGCACTCCAGATGATACGCTTATGGACATGAGATGTCCCGTAATGTTTGTGATAGGACAAAATGCTACTCAAGTCCGAACGGACGATTTAGAAGAACTGCGCGAGAAGATGCAAGTGGAGACGAGTTTGGTGGTGATCGGCACAGCCGACGATCACCTTAGAATAACGACGGCTAAGAAGATATCCGATGGGATCACGCAGAGCATGGTCGACAGGTGCATCTTGGATGAGATCGGAGACTTCGTTGGCAGTATTTTGTTGCAACCTCATCCCATGCCTCTGCGTCCGACTGCCGTTTCGAATTTCGATAATAAAACTACGAAGAAGGAGGTCAGGAAGAGGAAGAACTCCACGAGTAGTTCCGTTGAAAGCGAACCAAACTCTCCTAACGTTAAGCGGTCTCGTCCTGGTACGCCGGTTGCTTCCACAACGTCGACTGGAGCGACGACGACTTCGATTTCCAAAGCTGGCACGATGGCCACGCAGTCGTCCTTGGTCTCCATTAATGGACCCCATGTCAATCACGGGAACCAACCTAAGCGAAAGAACAGATTGATTAATAGTCACAAAGCCAGCTTCTCCGAACACCTCATCACTTCGAGGATTCCTGGCCAAGTAAGGAATCCTTCGGAACATGTTGAACTCCTTAAGGTGATATGAAAGAGTTCGCCTGTATTCATCTGAGAAGTTAAATCGTTGGCGAAAGTAGTCTCCGAATTGGGTGTACCGATTAGTTTGAAATTTTACCACGGGAATGTGGAGGCTCTGAAGTAGGTCCCGAAACTTACGAAATTTCTTTTTTCATCAATGATTCATTCATTTATCAGGGACTAGGACCTACATGGCGTGGTTTGTGCACGCTTTCGATGTTTTACGCTTCTTGGAGGGTTAAAATCGAAAATGAGTTTCAGGACCTAGCTCGAAGAATTTAGAATACCATAGAAATTGAATATTACAGAGTTAGATGGAAAAATATGGAAAATACATTCACCAACGATGGCAAGAGAGTGCTGGCTTGTCCCGTGGCTAACACAGGTTTCTAGAGCAAAAATTTAGTTGCAGCTAAACGTCACAGATGGCGACGTTGGTCCTAAACAGTCGTTAGAATAATGAATTCACGGGATTTCGACAGTTTTACATTAAGGTGAAGTGAAACACGAGGAGGAACTTGATCGACGTTGGTAAAAAAAGTTTCTTCTAAATACCTACGTTGCCGACGTTCGTTTTTATATCGACAGCTGTGACGAATTATATCCAGTATTGTACTAAATGGCATACTCCATTTGTCGTTTTCGTACAGTAATTATAAAGAAATCGAAGTAAAACTCCAGAAATCCCCTAGATTCATGGTTTCTGGGGCCCTAATTGACCACAGAGGGACCCCCTGCGCCATCTGTGATTTCCAGGTCAATTAAATTTTCACTTCGAGACCTCGTATTCCCATCGTTTTAGCATAGAAGCGCATAAGACACTTTTTTTGTCTTTATCCCGTTCAAATGCGAGTTTAACGATTACCAGAGTGTTCTAAATTGTCGTAAAATTGTCCTGACCCTTTCGTTTCTCATATCAGAGCCTTCAATAATTGTACATTGATCGAAATATGAGAGATCGACGCCATTTTGGTTCTGGTCTGGGCTGAGTTAAAAAATTATAAAAAAACATCGAAATTTTGAATGTGTCAGGACAATTCTTAGATGATCAGGATTGATGTGTAAAAGTTTCGGACAGTTTGGTCTAATACCCTTAAAAAAAGTGTTGTATTCGAATCGACTGATTTGAAGGAGCTTTCACTTTACCTTAAAAGCTACGATTAATGTGTCGCATATATGTGCCCATAATTATAAAAGTGGTCTAAGTCATATATTTTTTGTTTCGAAATTACATTGAATTAATTTCGTTTGAAATAATATGGCGTGAAATAACTGATAAACTCATTTTTTTTTTTAATTTTGACTTAGACCACTTTCATAATTATGGGCACATATGCGTCAACCTTCATGATGCAGGATGTTTCATAATTTGTCACCTCACGTTCATATTGTAATTTTGAAATAGGGTGGTGAATTCTGGGACACCCTGCATTACCCGTATGTTTCTGGTTATAATTAATTGACTATTGTTCCCCGCAGACCAACGCCGGAAACGGAGGAATAACGCTGAACATAGGGTCCCTAGCAAGTTTATCACCCATCGGTCCAATTCGATTGGCTCCTGCACCTGCAAGTCAGCTCACATCCTCAACGGTGAAGTCTAACGGCATCTCCAGGAGTCAGGCGACATTATCAAAGGTGTCCAAGCTCGTGTCTACCGAAGTGAGTCCTCAGAGCAGCACCTCGAAGATGAAGACCATCGTGCCAGGTAGCAAGGGCTTCGCCAAGATGACGTCGAGTGGCTACAAACACGTCAACATCACCGACAAGGTCGGCGAGACGAAGCTCGTCAACGTCTTGACCACTGGTGGAAGTCAAGTCAGAGTCGGTACGTCGACCTCGGCAGGTAATCACTTGCAATGATATGGTGAACGTACAACATACGCTATCAATGTACATTGTGAAACCTGAAAGCGGAGCCTCGTGACCGATAATACCTTTTACTTATGTCCAAAGGTTTGCAGAGCAAGCCACCAGGGAACGCTAGTGGCACGTTCTCCACCCTCATACAAAGAGGCATTTGCACCAATAGGCTCGTCAGCGGGGCCTCCCCGGGGAGACCGGGAACCGCCTCCAGTATTCTATTAACTCCGAACAATTCTACCACGAATACCGTTACGTCAGGTGCTTCTGCAACTACGACCAAAGGTAGAATACTCTTAACTAGCCAAGCATTGAACAACGATACTTGATCGCTGCTCCGCTAGGTTGAAATTCGGCGCTTAGGTAGGCCCTGATGTGATCCATCGTTCCTGACGGAGGGACTTCGTTTAGTTTAGTGATGGGACTAGTCGAATACTTCATATGATTGAGTTATTTCACTTTCGGGAAGATTGTCCACTCGAGGGTACTCTTAACCCTCTATGGGCCGAATTTTTGTTTTAAATAGAAAAAAATTAGGGGAACGAAAAACCAGCAATTAGGAACCTATATATGCAAATGAAAAAAACATTTTTCATTTAAAATGTGACCTGAAAGTTACACGGGCCCATAGAGGGTTAAGGTGATATGAAAGTGTGATGTGAAAGTGGGGTCGAAAAGGTTTTGTTTATATAACTTTTCTCCCTACTCGGTTTACTGAATAGTTTGAAACTTTACAGCGTGAATAGGGAGACTATAAAGAAGGTCCTGAAACTCATGAAACTTCAATTCTTTTCAAATTTCTTTATAGGTATTTTAAAAATAGTTTATAAAAAATGAAATTTCCTGAGTTTCTGGACCTACCTTAGGGTCTCCATATTCACGCTTTAAAATATGAAACTATTTGAGATACTCAGTTCGTAGAAAAGTTTTATGAACAATTGAGCTTTCGGATGCCCCTTAAGGGGATGTGAAAGCGGCATCTATGTCTACCCTATTCACGTTGATCATTTCATCTATTGTCTACCCTATTCACGTTGTAAAGTTTCAGACTATTCGGTAAACCGAGTTGAGAGAAAAGTTGTATAAACAAAACCACTTCGACGCCACTTTCACATCACCTTAAGGGGATGTGAAAGTGGCATCCGAAAGCTCAATTGTTCATAAAACTTTTCCTAGAACTGGGTGTCTCAAATAGTTTCATACTTTAAAACGTGAATATGAAGACCCTAAGGTAGGTCCTGAAACTCGCGAAATTTCATTTTTTATAAACTATTTTTAAAATACCTACAAACAAANGTCCTGAAACTCGCGAAATTTCATTTTTTATAAACTATTTTTAAAATACCTATAAATAAATTTGAAAAGAATTGAAATTTCATGAGTTTCAGGACCTTCCTTATAGTCTACCTATTCATGTTGTAAAGTTTCAGACTATTCGGTAAATCGAGTTGAGAGAAAAGTTTTATAAACAAAATCTCTTCGACGCCACTTTCACATCACCTTAAGGGGATGTGAAAGCGGCATCCGAAAGCTCAATTGTTCATAAAACTTTTCTATTGGATTTTCCTTCTGGAAATTTAGGGGGTGTTCCTTTATTATAGACTTTCTCTGTATGCAGGAAAATTAGGAAAGTCATACGAGAGATAATTGTAGTGCATAGGAGTAGAATTCGTGTACATGTTTAATGTATTTTTTATTTTGTGCCATATGACTCACAAACGTCAATTCCAGTGATAGGGGAAAATTAAGATATTCAAATGTTTAATTACTGGTTAAGAGAAAATTTTCAATGTTCAATTTTTAATAATGTCTATGAACAAATTTTTAAAAGATTGAAATTTCATGAGTGTGAGGGCCGGCCTTATAGCCGCTGTATTCGCATTGTAAAGTCTGAAACAATTCGGTACATCCAAATTAGAAAAGAGTTTCATAAACGAGACCTATGTGGAGCCACTTTCGTATCACCTTAATATCAAAAGTACCGGATTTTAACAGTGGTTAATCCCTCAAGACACTTTCATCGCGAGAGAACAATCACGTATCTAATGCTTAGTGAATCTTTTTAATCCGTTTTCCAATTAACGTCGTGGGAGAGTAATCGATGAAAATTCCGATTCCCTTTCTTAAGATCCGTAGCTTAAGGTGAAGTGAAACACCCCTCAAGTTAGTCGAATGAACTTCATTTTCAATTAAAATAAATTTTTTAATTCGAATAAAACAGTTCATTTTCAATTAAAATAAATTTTTTAATTCGAATAAAACACTTCATTTTCAATTCGAATAAATTTATAATTCAAATGAAACACTTCATTTTTAATTCGAATAAATTTTTTTATTAGAATAAAATACTTCATTTTCAATTCAAATAAATTTATAATTCAAATGAAACACTTCATTTTTAATTCGAATACATTTTTTAATTAGAAAAAACCACTTCATTTTCAATTCGAATAAATTTGTAAAGAGAAAGAGAAAAGAAAAGTAACAGAAATAGTAGTTTTTTAGAGTGGTGCATGATGCAGCTTGCACTGGTAGAACGCTTTCGCTGTAAATATACATAATCATTGGTGGGCGTTTATGTTTAATATTTTTTACAGTAATTGTATATTTTTGATAAATCCCGACCAAGTACGTGCAGCATGTGTGTATATATGTATATGTTTTATTTAAGGACTGCACTCGTTTTTACATGTAAACGCTTGATTAGAAAGATAGACCAAGGGTGGTTTTTTAATCCCCTGGTGGAAGAAACCGATATTAATCGGATGAAAAGTTGATTCGCATTACTTATTGTAATTGCCACTTTATATATGTCTGCGGTGTACATGATTCCAGTATCTCTTATTAATTCCACTCTACGTAGCGGTTAGTGGTAATTTAGCAATAATTATTTGGTAGAAAATTAAGTGTCTCTGGTACGATGGAAAAAAATGAATTCAACTTGATACCTTACTTTTACGTAAGCGTTTGAACCAGTGTATTAATTAATAGAAAAATTGTACGTCAATCTCTCAACCGTGAGTTTATCAATGTGATCTTTAGACGTTTGTCAAGTTAGTATACATTTCTAGTGTAACATATATATGCCGGCGTAGTCTTTATTTTATGTTGAATAAATATTTTTTCTGTAATTCGAATTCTTTCATTCCTTATCCCCTATCCCGTTTGAATACGTTTGTGATAACAACTAGTGAGACGAGAAAGTTGACTTCATTTTCTTGCAGCAGAAATGATATTCTAGATAATAGTTGTAGTTGTTAAGGTGATATGAAAGGAGCTGAGCAATTTAATCGAGGTCGATAAATTATATTTCATCTGTACCCTTTTTGGTGGTAATGTCATTTTTAATATTTAAGTTGTAACATAAACTGGCGCGTCCTGTTACCGACATTTGTATTTATGTTGAAGTCTTTTACAGTATATGTTGAGAATTATACGAACTGAAGCGTTCCATATGTCATTTCGGTAAAATAACGATGAAGAGATCGATGTAAAACTGTCGAAATCCCGTGAATTCATTATTCTAACGACTGTATAGGACCAACGTCGCCATCTGTGACGTTTAGCTGCAACTAAATTTTTGCTCTAGAAACCTGTGTTAGCCACGGGACAAGCCAGCACTCTCTTGCCATCGTTGGTGAATGTATTTTCCATATTTTTCCATCTAACTCTGTAATATTCAATTTCTACGATATTCTAAATTGTTCGATCTAGGTCCTGAAATTTTAAAATTTCGATTTTAAGCCTCCAAGACGCGTAAAACATCGAAAACATGCCCGGACCACGCCATATTGGATGTAGTCCATGATAAGTAAATCAATTTTTTATAAAAATGAAATTTCCTGAGTTTCAGGACCTACTTTAGAGCCTCCATATCCCCGTGGTAAAATTTGGAACTAATCGGTACATCCAATTCGGGGATTACTTTTACCGACGATTTGACTTCTCAGATATACATAGGCTGACTCTTTCATATCACCTTAAAAGTTTTTACTAGCTATTAATAGTGATCGTAAGACATATTTCTCGGTAGGACGGAATCTTGATAAATGATTGAAAAATAATTATTCGGTATAAGGTCGAAGTAAGACTGATGGAGTTAAGTGATAATAAATACGCTAAACTATAAGGAAATCAATAAGCAGGGTATGTAAGAAAATATATTAGTATAGATTGCACATATGTCCTCGTTTCAACATAAATCACCGAGTTGTAAACTTTCTATTTTTATTCTTTTAGTTTAATTATTCGTCACGTATACATTCATCTCGAGATTATTTAATTTAAAAATGTAAAAGTAATAGTCCGTTTTTATTTTATTAGAAGACAAACTATCGTGAGAAGTCGGTAGAGTTTTGCGCCAAATGCATACGTACTTAAGGGGTTACACCACTTTGACCCACCCAAAAATTCCAGAATTTTTTAAGAATTGAAACGTTTTTATCCAAATTAAAGTACAGTAAGGTATTATACTACTATTAAACAATAAAATATTTTTTTTTGGTATTTTTTTTATGTACAAAAATGGCGGCTTGAAAGGCGATTTACCGGTTCGCTAAGAAAATCGATGATCGTGCGGTGGGCACCATAACTCAGTCCAGGTTTAAGTTAGAACAATGAACGAAAAAAAATTAGTTTCTGTAGCCCAAAAGCTAATAAAATGCGTAGCCGTTTTCAAAAATATGCATTTTTCACAAAATGGCGTCGATTTCAAAGGAAAGATACGTATTTTGCCCTAAATTTCGTTAATTAATGTTGCATAAAAAATGCGAATATCAATACATTGAAAAAACCATACGTATTTCGCTAGATAAACATATCACGAATAAAATAAAAATAGAATCAAGACGATTGATTGAAAAATGGCGGAGCTAGAGTGCCCACCGATTTTTAAAATGCAGTTTTAAGAAAAACGCGTTTAATGTATAAACGCGTAAAATAAAGCCGTAAACATTTTTTTAAAATTTCAAAGTGGTATAACTCCCTAATTCTATGTGAAGATTACTAAGTGCGTTTTAGGATATAGTATGAGTCTGATAAATATTAAAATCTTTATTCAGGGAATTTATTACTGAACCGAAGAACTGTAATGTGTCTTTTTTAAGCACTTCAGTTATTTCCGATTTATTATTGAATGCTTCATTCGAGATTTTCAAGGTTCGGTTTCTTTTACCAATTATTTATACACATTTTCTTGTACAAATTAAGGTGATGTGAAAATGGCGTCGAAGAGGTTTTGTTTATAAAATTTTTCTCTCAACTCGATTTACCGAATAGTTTGAAACTTTACAACGTGAATAGGAAGACTATAAAGAAGGTCCTGAAACTCATGAAATTTCAATTCCTTTCAAATTTGTTTATAGGTGTTTTCAAAATAGCTTATAAAAAATGAAATTTCCCGTGTTTCAGGACCTACCTTAGGGTCTCCATATTCATGTTTTAAAGTATGATACGATTTGAAATACCCAGTTCTATGAAAAGTTTTATGAACGATTGAGCTTTCGGATGCCGCTTTCACACCCCCTTAACTGGGTAAATAGGAGTGGACGAGTGGTCAGGAACACCCTCTGTAATATAACGTTTCAATAGAGTTCCACGTATCAACTCTAATTTAGATGCCCTCTTCTCCATCAGTTTTTGAGAAAGGTGTCTATGTTTTATAGTGCTGGACACCGTGGACACCGACAACACCATGCCTGATCGTCCGAGCACCATTCAATCCCTAGACGCCTCCAAACTCCCGTTGCACCAATTCGTCCAGCACATCTCCCAAGGTGCACTGTCCACCAGCAGCAAGAGCCACTCCGAGGTGTCCTGCAGCAACATCGTAGTCCTGGCCGACAGTTCCCGCAACCCCCGGAGCAACATCTCCTCGCTGATGCCGCCTAGTCAGACTCCGATCACGATCCTCCCATTGTCCAGCAAACTGAGGACATCCCAAAAGCCTACAAAATCCATGCCGAAGATTACAATGAACAACAGCAGCCTGCAGAGGACGAAGCCACAGTCCCCGCCGAAGAGGAAGCCGTCGACCGACCTGGACGACGACCTGGGGAACATCCTGGATATCCCCATCATCTTCGCCAAGGACGGGGAAAACTTGAGCAGCATCGAGAGGGCTCCTCCTTCCCTTATGCAGGCTCCTCCACCTCCTCTGGAGACGTTCGAAAAGAGCCTCCCCAAAGTCGGGACCAAGCTGGTCCTCATCAGCAATAAGCAGGACAAGGTCCAGCAGCAGTTCCCGAGGTTGCAGAACCCCATTGCGCAGAGCATCGTCAGGCCGAGTGGTTCCTCACAGCCCAGTCACGTTATCCTGCAGACAAGACCACAAAACCCTGTTATCTCATCCGTTAGTCGTGGCAATATTCCCATCCAAACCGCTCCACGTACCTCCCAGCCCACTATCAAGTACACCAAGATCATCCTGGCGAAGAGGAACACTGTCAGGACCAGCTATCAGGGGGACAGGAGTGAGCACGTCGTCCTGACGAAGACCAGTCAGCGTCTTTGTCCTCCGAAGGTCCTCGGACAGGACAAATCGGAACACAGATATGCCCAGGTTGTTCCTTCCAGAGTGCAGGACTACCTCCCCGATGATTCCATTGAGATCGAAGATGCTATAAAGAAGAACATTATCGAGAGGAAAATTGTGTCGATACCTGAGATCGATTTAACTTCACCTAAGAAGGGTGTCGGAGAGGAGAGCGCTAGTAAGGTGGATGGCGTTGATGATGGATCGGGGGATGCGAACAATCCCCAGTTGGGGAGGTGTCTTGAATCTAGTGATGTGTAAGAATGAAATGGATGGATGGAATGATCGTTCATGATCTTGAAGTCAGTTCATGGTGAGACTTTTGTAAAAGCAAGGTTTAACCTTTACTATACCCACCTTCGCTGATAGATTTAACTTCACCTAAGAAGGGTGTCGGAGGAGAGCGCTAAGAAGATGGATGGCGTTGATGATGGATCGGGGGATGCAAACAATCCCCAATTAGGAAGATTTTACCATTATGGTTTACCACAATGGTTTTACCATTACCATATCCATCTTCTGTGACCGATTTAACTTCACCTAAGAAGGGTGTCGGAGAGGAGAGTGCTAATAAAGTGGATGGCGTTGATGATGGATCGGGGGATGTTAACAATCCCCAATTAGTAAGGTTTTACCATTATGGTTTACCACGATGGTTTTACCATTACCATATCCATCTTCTGTGATCGATTTAACTTGACCTAAGAAAGGTATCGGAGAGGAGAGCGCTAAGAAGATGGATGTCGTTGATGGTGGATCAGGGGATGCGAGCAATCCCTAATTAGCAAGGTGTCTTGAGTCGAGTGATGTGTAAGAATAAAATGGTTGGGTTGGAAGATCATTAATGATCTTGCATTTAGTCCATGGTGAGAGTTTTATAGAAGCAAGGTTTGACCATTATGGTTGGCCACAATGGTTTTACCATTACCACACCCATCTTCGCCATTGATTTAACTCCACCTAAGAAGGGTATCGGAGAGGAGAGCGCTACGAAGATGGATGTCGATGATGGATCGAGGGATGCAAACAATCCCCAATTGGGGAGGTGTCTTGAATCGAGTGATGTGTAATAATAAAATGGTTGGGTGGGATGATTATTAATGAGCTTGCATTCAGTCCTTGGTGAGACTTTTGTAGAAGCAAGGTTTTACCATTATGGTTTACCACAATAGTTTTACCATTACCATATCCATCTTCTGTGATCGATTTAACTTCACCTAAGAAGGGTGTCGGAGAGGAGAGCGCTAAGAAGATGGATGTCGTTGATGATGGATCGGGGGATGCGAACAATACCCAATTGGGGAGGTGTCTTGAATCGAATAATGTGTAAGAATGAAATGGATGGGTGGAATGATCGTTGATGCTCTTGAATTCAGTTCATGGTGAGACTTCTGTAGAAACAAGGCTTTACCGTTATGGTTTACCACAATGGTTTTACCATTACCACACCCATCTTCGCCATTGATTTAACTCCACCTACGAAGGGTATCGGAAAGGAGAGCGCTAATAAGGTGGATATCATTGATGATGGATCGAGTGATGTGTAACAATGAAATGGATGGGTGGGATGATTATTAATGATCTTGAATTCAGTTCATGGAGAGACTTTAGTAGAAGCAAGGTTTCACCATCATGGACGTATCCATCTTCCATCCAGAGGGTTCCTCTCGATGCCGCTTCCCTGATGTAGGCTCCTCCACCTTCTTAGAGCCGCACAACAAGCGTCTCCTCAATATTAGGACCACCAAGCTGGTCTTCATCGGCAATAAACAGAACAAAACCCAGCAACAATTTCCAAAGTTATAAAACTTAGCTGCAAAGTACATCGCAGACCAAGTGATTCGCCCCAGCCCTATCACGTTATCATGCAGGCTAGACCACAAAATTCAGTTATCTCATTCATTTAGGTGATGTGAAAGTGGCGCGAAAGAGTTCTTGTTCACGAAACTTTTCTCCAAATTGGATGTACTGAATCGATTCAAACTTTACAGTATAAATATGGAGGCTATAAGGAAGGTCCTGAAACTCAGGAATTTTAATTTTTTTTTTTTAATTTGTTTTCCCGCGTTTGGAAATTTTTGTATAAAAAATGAAATGTCCTCAGGTTTGGTACCTTCCTTGTAGCCTCCATATTTATGTTGAAATGTGTGAATCAATTCAGCATACCCAGTTTGGAGAAAAGTTTTTTCAACAATTGACTCTTTAGATGCCGCTTTCACATCCCCTTAATCGTGGCAATGGTCCTGTTCAAATGGTTCCATGTACCCTGGTGGACATGAATGCCTTCCTCGCGGATATTAGTGCCAGGGTAAAAAAAGAAGGCATTCATGTACAATGGCGGACATGAATGCCTCCCCTGTGGATACGACATCGCCTGTGCAGGATGGGAGGGCATTGATGTCTCCCGGTATACGCTAGTGTAACTCAGCCTACTATCAAGGCGATGTGAAAGTGCCGTCAGAGATATCGTTTACGAAACTTTTCTCTAAACTAGGTGTACCTAATCGTTTTAAACTTTACAAGGTGAATATAGAGGCTATAAGGAAGGTCCTGACACCCATGAAATTTCAGTTTTTCTTTAATTTCTTTGTAGGGATTTTCAAAACTTATTGTAAAAAGTGAAATCTGATGAGTGTCAGGACCTCCCTTAAAGCCTCTGTACTCACCTTGTAAAGTTTGAAACGATTCGGTAAATCTAGTCCGGAGAAAAGTTTCATAAATGAAACCTCTTCATCGCCTTAAGGTGATGTGAAAGTGGCGTCGAAGAGATTTGTTTATAAAACTTTTCTCCCAACTCGGTTAACCGAATAGTTTGAAACTTTACAACGTGAATAGGAAGACTATAAGGAAGGTCCTGAAACTCATGAAACTTCAATTTTTTTTAAATTTGTTTATAGGTATTTTAAAAATAATTTATAAAAAATTAAATTTCCCGAGTTTCAGGACCTACCTTAGGGTCTCCATATTCACGTTTTAAAGTATGAAACGATTTGAGACGCCCAGTTCTATGAAAAGTTTTATGAACAATTGAGCTTTCGAATGCCACTTTCACATCCCCTTAAATAATTATGCGATTAATATGTTGGAAGTTCCTGGAGGCGATAGTCCGTTTTAAAGTCCACGTATTTATAAGACAGCTAATTATGCTCAAAAGGGTCGAATTCTTAAATTATGTGGTTAGATGTTACCGAAGCAGTTTTTCTTTTCAAGTTACACGGAGCTCTCTAAAATCCACTCATTTGTTTTACTTTTTATGCGCATCTGGGAAGTTGAAAGTGTTGAGGCTATGCCATTAGTGCAGTAGAAATGTTACAGGGGCGCTAGTATATATATATTTTTTTTTTAATTAAATTGCTGTGAGAATTTCATAATGTAGTAGAGTCTGTGAGAGAGATGCCATTAGTGCAGTAAAAATATTACAGAGGCGCTAGTATTTTTTTTTTTTTTTTTAATTAAATTGCTGTGAGAATTTCATAATGTAGTAGAGTCGCATGGAGGCAGAGATAAGTAGTAATTAAATACGACATTTAAAAAACGACTCTCAGCTTTTGTATCAATACTCCGAAAGCTCTGAAATTCACACCGTTGTGAATTCCGTACAGTAAAAGAAGAGGTTGTAAAATATAACGATGTAGAAGGAATGTAGAAAAGAGCTTCTTTTATTAATACTCTGATGAGAGTGCCCAGACTTAACAAAAAAAAAAAACATCTGAGATCTTTGAAGAATTAAGAAAACATTTCGGATGTTTACTGAAATTCAGTAATGCTTCGTAAATTTTCAACGTTGTGAACAATTCTACAAATTCGTATTACGGCGCGAAAACGAAATCACACTCTGTAATGGCGAAAACGAAATTGTTTTGTTAAAATTTAATTTAATACTTGGTTTCTTATGATAGATATAAATTATTACCATGAGTTTGAAATTAAATCAACATTGTAAGATAAATTTTCGTTTAGCCTTTTATCAGATTATCTATAAGATCAATTGATTGTTTTGTTAAAATTTAATTTAACATTTGGTTTCTTATGACAGATATAAATTATTACCATGAGTTTCAAATTAAATCAACATTGTAAGATAAATTTTCGTTTAGCCTTTTATCAGATTATCTATAAGATCAATTGATTGTTTTGTTAAAATTTAATTTAACACTTGATTGCTTATGACAGATATAAATCATTACCATGAGTTTCAAATTAAATCAACATTATAAAACGATAATATAAAATCATCCAGTAATCTAGCTAGAGAAGAGATCCAAAACTGTAAAATAAATTCCTACTTTTAAAACAAAGGAACTTCAAATTCGTAGTCGAACACTGAGAGAGCTTAGAGAATAATAAAAGTTGCATTTGCTGTTTATACATGAAGAAAGCAACATTATAAAACAATAATATAAAATCATCCAGTAATCTAGTTAGAGAAGAGATCCAAAACTGTAAAATAAATTCCTGCTTTTAAAACAAAGTATCTTCAAATTTGTAGTCGAGAGAATGATAAAAGTTGCGTTTGCTTTTTATATACGAAGAAACGAACATTACAAAACGATAATATAAAATCATCCAGTAATCTAGCTAGAGAAGAGATCCAAAAATGTAAAATAAATTCCTGCTTTTAAAACAAAGTATCTTCAAATTCGTAGTCGAACACTCTGAGAGCTTAGAGAATGATAAAAGTTGCTTTTCTACCGAGATTAAATACTCAAATTCCCAACACATGACAATAGAGGAATATAAATTCAACAAGGCGGGTTACAACAAATAAATAACAAACAAATATACCCTAGCCACCGTTATTCAACTAATTCGTCATGCTAAATGTAGGAATTTCGTTAAGTCAGCAATAGTCGTAACCCACGATAAGGAGAGAATGTAAAAAACCAGATAATCGTTTATTTTTTCCTTCTTAATCGAAAAGTCTGCCGACGCGAACGCGTATGTGATATTCGACTGAACATCATTACTTTATATTATATAATAATATCGAAGGGTCTAAAGTCAGAAAGACGCTATCGAAGGGAAGAAACAATTTACGTTTTTCTAACTTTAGACCTACGTTGTAATTCATTGCCATTGGCTGATTAGTTTCTGTGATTACAACCGTACTAAGCTAATTACAGGATAATGATTCCCTCGTTTTTTCTTTTTTCTTTTTTTTCAATTTTTGTAGTATTAGCTTGCGTGATATTAATATCGGAATGGTATGTCAAGGTGTACAATGTGTTCTGGTGATCAATCGTAGGATATTGTTTACCATTTGTTCAGGAAACTCGGTAGAGTTTCGCGCCAAATACATTTAAAAGCATTACAATTAACCCTTTGCACTCGAGGCCTTTTTTCGCCCGGACGAGCCAGCGACTTGAAACGATTTTCCGCATACTTGGGGAATTATGTCCAGCTAACTTAAAATGATTTCCCATACAAATTGACGCATAAAACTATTACATTTCAATTTCTTATGTATCCTTACATGTGAGAGAAGAAAATTTGTTGAATATTAAGATGAAATAACCCTTTGCACTCGAGGCTTTTTTCGCCTGGACGAGCCAGCAACTTGAAATTATTTTCCGCATACTTGGGGAATTACATCCAGCTAACTTAAAATGATTTCCCATACAAATTGACGCATAAAACTATTACATTTTAATTTTTTATGTATCCTTACATGTGAGAGAAGAAAATTTGTTGAATATTAAGGTGAAGTAACCCTTTGCACTCGAGGCCTTTTTCGCCCGGACGAGCCAGCAACTTGAAATTATTTTCCGCATACTTGGAGAATTACTTCCAGCTAACATAAAATGATTTCCCATACAAATTGACGCATAAAACTATTACATTTCAATATCTTATGTATCCTTACATGTGAGAGAAGAAAATTTGTTAAACATTAAGGTGAAGTAACCCTTTGCACTCGAGGCCTTTTTCACCCGGACGAGCCAGCGACTTGAAATTATTTTCCGCATACTTGGGGAATTACTTCCAGCTAACTTAAAATTGTTTCCCATACAAATTAACGCATGAAACTATTATATTTTAATTTCTTATGTATCCTTACATGTGAGAGAAGAAAATTTGTTGAATATTAAGGTGAAGTGAAAGACCTCTCAAATCAGTCGATTCGAATACAACCTTTATTTTTAAGGGTATTCGCCTAAACTTTGACACATGACTCGTGATCATCTAAGAATTGTCCTGACACATTCAAAATTTGAATTTTTTATCTAAATTTTTTAACTCAGCTCAGACCAGAACTAAAATGGCGTCGAGCTCTCATATCTCGATCAATATACAATTATTAAAGGCTCTGATATGAGAAACGAAAGGGTCAGGACAATTTTACGACAATTTAGAACCCTCTGGTAATCGATAAACTCGCATTTGAGCGGGATAAAGGCAAAAAAAGTGTCTTATGCGCTTCTATGCTAAAACGATGGGAATACGAGGTCTTTGAGTGAAAATTTAATTGACCTGGAAATCACAGATGGCGCAGGGGGCCCCTCTGCAGTCAATTAGGACCTTCACGGTCACTGTTCATCATATCAGGTTTTCCTTTTCTCTTTTTCTTTGTTCTCAGATTAACAGTGCAGAATGTATTGCACAATTTAATGTTCCTTGGAGATTTCAAAGGTGGAAGAGTAAATTTAAACGATGGGAGATTTTAAAGGTCTGAAAGCAGCGCTGAATGAGTATATTTTCTGCGTAGATCTTATCCATACTAAATATTGGAATAGGACATACACGGTTCTAATAAACAATTATTGGCATTATAAATAAAATAATTATTACTGTTGTATAAAGTCACGGCATATCGATATTGCTTACATTTGCTCCAATGATTTGGACCTTCTTTATAGCTTCCATATTCATATTGTCAAGTTTGAAACGATTCGGTATAATCAGTTCGAAGAAACGTTTCATAAACAGGACCTCTTCACGCCACTTTCACACCACCTTAAGGTACCTTTTCACTTGCTGCAAAATTACATGTAAACGTTTCGTTTGGTTAAAAATGGGCAGGCAGCTATCATGGATGACACAGAAAGAATTTAAGTAAACAGAGCGTTTGGCTGCATACAATTTTACAGGCATGCAGCAGGTATAAAGGTATCTTTACGGTGCCATGACTGTCACGGCACAACGGCAATGGCACTTGCAACATCCCATGTAGTTCCACTGCTTGCTGTTACGCGGCAGCACGATCAACTCGGAGTCTGCTGAGTACAGAGATTGCTGGGTATCATTCCCCCTTAAATGGGTTTCACTCGTTACCTAACAAGGCCTCTCCATCTTCGGATGTAAACATCGTGTATATTTTCTTACTGAGTTCAGGGCCAATTTTTCTGGCCGTTGTAAGGGGGCCAGCTGCTCTTCTAACCTATAAAAAAGGAAACATCTATGTATAGGACAACCTTTGCTAAAATGTCTTGCGTTCCGATCCCATTCACACATTAATAGCTAATGTTGCATCGCCAAGAAGTCCTCTAGAGTCGCAGTTAGATAATGAATGCCAAGAAAATGCCAAATAATTAATTTTAAGACACCGAGTGAATGCTATACTTACAGGAATGTCTTTTAATAGCTTCTGTCCTTCCGTTGGGGTACACTTCATGTATGCCTAAAAAACAGTAGAGGTTATTTAGGCTCATCGATGAAACACCATGATTTTATAAATAATCTGTTGAGACATTAAAATTGCCCGATGCTACTGTTAAATCTGTGTTTTATTTGGGATCTTACGTCCATGAGCTGCAGAGGACTTCCATACACCTTAGAAATTGCTTCGGCTGTCTCCAATGTTGCTAAATGAAACTGACATAGCTGCTGTTGCCATAACCGTTTCAGTCCATTACCTTCTTTGTCCACCTGAACCGTATCACGATTATCACACTTAGCGTACCAGTCCAATTTGTCTTCGACATTGTTCTTCCTCTCCAATTTTAAAGGCCTTTCAGCGATCGATTTCGTGTACTGATAAATCATCATTGCTAAATTCTCGGGATTTTCCATCAGCCTACTATTGCAATTCATTGTTAACTGAGCTTCGGTCAGACACAACTCCAAGTCGCTTTTAGATATTCTAGGCAGTCTTCCAAAAATATTATCTTGCTTACTGGAACGTTTATTCCTTGACTTTTCCGGATGTTTGTTTCCATCCGATTTTTTCTTACAGCTTTTCTGGTATTTGAAATATTCCTCTATGCCATAAATTATTAACGTTAACTTCTTCTTATCGATAGAGGCTTGCATTGTTGCGACCGATGCACAAAGATCACCATTAGCTACTTTTGTCACCGCTTCGTCCCAATTCCAGATGACCACAATTTGATCCTCATCCAGAACCCTTGATTTTGTACAAATGCTATTGTCACTATCTACATAATATTCCTCTGCAGTCCTCTTCCATGTAACACTGCGTGGAATTACCTGTGATTTCACAGTAAATAATAATTCGCTGCTTCTTAACTTACTGATAATGTCGCTGTAAAAAGGCTCATTTATCAAATCTTCACCTATAATAACTTCCATAAACTTCATGCATTCGCCTGGTTGCATATTCTTCAAATTTTGTATGGCTATTGTTTTCAATGCTTTTTCTTTCGCAGCCTCTTGTTGTTTCGCCGCTCTCTCTGCATTACCTGTTTTTTTACTCCTATTGGTTGTTCGTTTACCTTTATTATTTTTTGCATGTGCAGTGTTACCAGATAATGGATATTCCTCAGTGGAAAAATGACTTTCATGAGAATAATGTTCAGACAAACTGCTCGATAGCATAACATTTGCTGGCTCGTTGTCTCCGTGGTAGTCAGGTTCCGAGGAGTATGGTTTAAGTGAACTTCTTCGTACCTGAAAATAATGATAAAATACTTCAGTTATCAAAGAATAGTATTATTATATTAACCACTAGTTTGTTTACTATACATTAAACTTTATATGCAAGCATGAAATACATTTACATATAAATCAAAATCAATTGTTCGAGCCAGAACATAATTTCTTCAAGGAAATGAAAGTTAATTCATTCGCTAAAATTTGTTTCGAGCTCTCCATATTTTATTTGAATGGAATCATTGAAACGAGAGATGAACTCAAAACATACAAATATGACCAGCTGATTCAAATAAATATTCAATATATTCTATCAAATTCTGATAATTCGATAAACATTTCTATTGAATTAATTTGCTGCATTTATTAACACATTCACGTCATTTTAAATTCTATCCCTGATTGCCGCTTACATGAATCACGTCCATAACGATACGCGATACAAGTTTGCGGCAACCAGTTTCATAATTTCATTATTTTCACCGGTACTCAGTATTTGAAACAGAAAAAATTTGCCGGTCGCGAATGTGTTAATTTAAAAGCAATATTAATTAAGTGCATGTAGTTCAGTTATAATAAATTTGAATTTATTTAGCAACAAATTTTGATATATTTACAATCTACAGACTGAAACAATTTATGTTGTATAAAAAAAATGTTAAAACCAAAAAGAGATATTACTTACATTCTTGCGTGATTCTGTATTAATCTCATCTCGCGTACTTTCCTTTTCCCTATTATTTATGTCAAGAACGTAGTCGAAGGGCACCTCAGGAAAACTAAAGTCACTCGTAGCATTCCGCGCAGATGGAAAATAAATCTCATCGATAGCTCTCGGTTCCTCGTCTTCGCATCGCAATACAGAATCGCTTGAATCACTTGAATCGCTCAAACATACTACATCGTCTGACATTTTTCTGCTTCTTATACATTTACTAATTACTACTAAATACTGCCTCTACTCTTCAACCATAATCGCCGTAATTTTTTTATCAAACTTGAAAACTGATAGTTTCTGCGACTGCGCACGAAGGCGCGCAAATTTCAAACATTTCGAAATTATTTCTTGAAGCCATTAAAACAAGTTACGGTTTGCAAAAATATTTTCCCAGCAACATTGTTTTAATCGTGAAACCAGGATCGAAAAAATGATCCAGTTGATCGAGGTCCATGACAAGTAATACACTTTTCTCGGACTGGTACCGACATTTGAGGTTAGAATCAACAGTATTTCTCATTCAACTTCTCACATTCCAAATTAGAAATTAATCTCATTTAAAACACGTGCTCGCCACATGCTTCTTTAAATCACATGACGAATTAAATTACAGCATTCCTCACAACTTTCTTTTATTTGAATCAAAGGGAACTTTTGATTTCTGAAAATTCAAGATTTGTCGCATCGTTATGGTCCATTAGTTCCCAATGCATGTGTCTTGATATGCAATTATCCATCCCAAAGTTCATGGTATCTCGAGTTTTTTAATAAAATTTACACTCTAATAAATTATTTATCCACTGTTTACAAAATTGTTAAATATTTCATGTGTTCAATTTAACCTTCTTTTTTTGTGGACCATTTTTAAAGGCAACTGTAGGTCAGTGTTGCCACCGTCACGATTTAAAGGGTAGTAGAAATCAGGGGGTCTATTACATAAAGCAAATTGAGCGAAAATGTGAAAAATGAGTAGCTCACGGTATTACGGAACGTTTTGGGGGTGAAAATGCGAGACCATTCATATGAACTGGCTCGGCACAAATTATTAAGCGAAATGGTGAAACATACAAGAACAGATAGAAAAATAAGCGCCGTGAACGCCATCTTCCACGGATTGTGACACCAATATTCAAAATGGAAAACCTGGGTATTTTTATTTTTGGCAACAATCGTATTCGGGGATGTAATAATAACCTTATTAAAAGAGGAAGGGAATTACGTGATGCATCAGATCCATTTTCTTTAGAAGAAAGAGAATTTATTAAGATGTACAGGTTAGTTTTTGTTATTGCGGGATTACATTACGTTATTAAACATTGAAAACTGTTAAATAATTCATACTTCCATGACATGATAAGAAAATTATATTATTGAACTTCTAATTATAGTACATGTAAATATGAATATAATACATATTTAAAAAATATATATAGACTCGAGTCCTCTTCTTTACTTTTAACGGCTTTCCATCTTCCCGCCTTTCCTGCCTATAACCCACTACCTCTCAACAATTTTCGATTTACAAGGTATGTACCTTTATTTGCAATATTACTAGACCGGAAGTGCTAGTGATCTCGTTCTTTCATATAGCGAATACGTAAGTCGCGAATAAACCCACGTGAGATGAAAGTGCGAAAAGTGAGCGCTCTCGTCAAAAATACGTAATAAACGCCCAGAGATGAGTTGGGAGATAGCTCACGGGCAGAGTAGAGTTCTAAATCCAGTAAGTTACGTCAGAAACGAAGAGAAATTCCCGGTAACTTATCGGTAATTTCTCCAAAGCCTTTTTTATCGAGAATTATGAGAATTTGAATTTTTCAACAGATCGAACGAGAGGTTTCGATTAGCTATAGAAGAAACATCGTAGAGGGGAATTTCCGTTGTACGTTCTCCGTAGCCAATCAAAACCTCCCATTCGCTTCGTCGCAGAATGAAATATTAGTTCATTTGAAACAAATCGCACGGAATGTTCCGTGAAGTTGTAGATACGTGAATATTTTTAGCTGGAGGTAAATACGACCCTATAATCAATATTTTCTAATAGTAATTATTACTCTATAGCTTGAACTTTGAAGTTGATTAAAAAAAAAAGTTATTTAAACGAAGAAACTTAAAGTATAAATAACAAAATTAACGTTCTCTTAAATTCTCAATGTTCCCGGTAACTTACGGTATGTTTCACAGTTACCTTCTCCAATTTAATGTTACCGAGAATTTTCGAACTCTAGATGAAAGTGCGAGAAGTGAGCGCTCTCGTCAAAAATACGTAATAAACGCCCAGAGATGAGTTGGGAGATAGCTCACGGGGAGAGTCGCGCGATCGCGTCCTCTGCTGACCCCTGGTGGTTAGTGAGGGCGGCTAACGTACTTGCCACCTGTTACCTCTCAGTGGCGGCGCAACTCATCTTTGCCAGAAATGAGTAAACCCCATGGATGTAAGAATGTATGGACGGAGTTCAAGTCAGAGGGCTGAGTGCATGAGTAAGTAAGGGGGAACAGAGATGAGTTGGGAGATTGCTCACGGGCAGGGTCGCGCGATCGCACCGTGTGCTGCCCTCTGATTTCGTACGTTAGCTTTCACCGTTTTTTGCCCCCAAGGGCGGCGCAACGAATTTCTGGTAGGGGCCCGCGCAATCGCGATGGCTGTGCCATC